CTTCCGCCCACGCGTCCTACCGGATGCACGGCTTAGTGGTGGTGGTGGGTACCCACTGTGCTGGGCCCCGCAAGCAGGCCTCGAAAGTGGCGACAGTTTCACAGATCGCAGCCCCCCAGGGATGGCGAGGTCACATTTGAACCTGCGGTGGGTGCCCACTGTGCTGGGCCCCCCAGCAAGCCTCGAATGTGGCGACAGTTTCACAGATCGCAGCCCCCCAGGGACGGCGAGGTTCAATTTAAATCTGCGGTGGGTACCCACTGTGCGGGGCCCCGCGAGCAGGCCTCGAAAGTGGCGACAGTTTCACAGATCGCAGCCCCCCAGGGATGGCGAGGTCTAATTTGAATCTGCGGTGAGTACCCACTGTGCTGGGCCCCCCAGCAGGCCTCGAAAGTGGCGACAGTTTCACATATCGCAGCCCCCCAGGGATGGCGAGGTCTAATTTGAATCTGCGGTGGGTGCCCACTGTGCTGGGCCCCCCAGAAGCCCTCGAAAGTGGCGACAGTTTCACAGATCGCAGCCCCCCATGGATGGCGAGGTCCCATTTGAATCCGCCGTGGGTGCCCACTGTGCTGGGCCACCCAGCAACCCTCGAAAGTGGCGACAGTTTCACAGATCGCAGCCCCCCCAGGGACGGCGAGGTCTAACTTAAATCTGCGGTGGGTACCCACTGTGCTGGCCTCGAAAGTGGCGACAGCTTCACAGATCGCAGCCCCCCAGGGGTGGCGAGGTCTAGTTTGAATCCGCCGTGGGTGCCCACTGTGCTGGGCCCCCCAGCAGCCCTCGAAAGTGGCGGCAGTTTCACTGATCGCAGCCCCCCAGGGATGGCGAGGTGTAGTATAAATCTGCGGTGGGTACCCACTGTGCTGGGCCCCGCAAGCAGCCCTCGAGAGTGGCGACAATTTCACAGATCGCAGCCCCCCAGGGATGGCGAGGTCTCATTTGAACCCGCCGTGGGTACCCACTGTGCTGGGCCCCGCAAGCAGGCCTCGAAAGTGGCGACAGTTTCGCAGATCGCAGCCCCCCAGGGATGGCGAGGTCCCATGTGAGTCAGCCGTGGGTACCCACTGTGCTGGGCCCCCCAGCAGGCCTCGAAAGTGGCGATAGTCTCGCAAATCGCAGCCCACCAAGGATGGCGAGGTCCCATGTGAGTCAGCCGTGGGTACCCACTATGCTGGGCCCCCCAGCAGGCCGCGAAAGTGGCGACAGTTTCACAGATCGCAACCCCCCAAGGATGGCGAGGTCCCATTTGAATCCGCCGTGGGTGCCCACTGTGCTGGGCCCCCCAGCAGGCCTTGAAAGTGGAGACAGTTTCACATATCGCAGCCCCCTCAGGGATGGCGAGGTCTAGTTTGAATCCGCAGTGGGTACCCACTGTGCTGGCCCCCCCAGCAGCCCTCGAAAGTGGCGACAGTTTCACAGATCGCAGGCCCCCAGGGATGGCGAGGTCCAATTTGAATCCGCCGTGGGTACCCACTGTGCTGGGCCCCCCAGCAGCCCTCGAAAGTGGCGACAGTTGCACAGATCGCAGCCCCCCAGGGATGGCGAGGTACCATTTGAATCCGCCGGGTGCCCACTGTGCTGGGCCCCCCAGCAGCCTTGAAAGAGGCGGCAGTTTCACTGATCGCAGCCCCCCAGGGATGGCGAGGTCCCATTTGAATCCGCCGTGGGTGCCCACTGCGCTGGGCCACCCAGCAACCCTCGAACATGGCGACAGTTTCACAGATCGCAGCCCCCCAGGGATGGCGAGGTCCATTTGAATCCGCCGTGGGTACCCACTGTGCTGGGCCGCCCAGCAGCCCTCGAAAGTGGCGACAGTCTCACAAATCGCAGCCCCCCAGGGATGGCGAGGTCCCATTTGAATCCGCCGTGGGTACCCACTGTGCTGGGCCCCCCAACAGCCCTCGAAAGTGGCGACAGTTTCACAGATCGCAGCCCCCTAAGGATGGCGAGGTCCCATGTGAATCCGCCGTGGGTACCCACTGTGCTGGGCCCCCCAGCAGCCTTCGAAAGTGGCGACAGTTTCACAGATCGCAGCCCCCCAAGGATGGCGAGGCCCCCTTTGAATCCGCCGTGGGTGCCCACTGAGCTGGGCCCCCCAGCAGCCCTCGAACGTGGCGACAGTTTCACATATCGCAGCCCCCTAGGGATGGCGAGGTCCCATGTGAATCCGCCGTGGGTGCCCACTGTGCTGGGCCCCCCAGCAGCCCTCGGAAGTGGCGACAGTTGCACAGATCGCAGCCCCCCAGGGATGGCGAAGTCCCATTTGAATCCGCCGTGGGTACCCACTGTGCTGGGCCCCACAGCAGCCCTCGAAAGTGGCGACAGTTTCACAGATCGCAGGCCCCCAGGGATGGCGAGGTCCGATTTGAATCCGCCGTGGGTACCCACTGTGCTGGGCCCCCCAGCAGCCCTCGAAAGTGGCGACAGTTTCACAGATCGCAGCCCCCCAGGGATGGCGAGGTCCCATTTGAATCCGCCGTGGGTGCCCACTGTGCTGGGCCCCCCAGCAGCCCTCGAAAGTGGCGACAGTTTCAAAGATCGCAGGCCCCCCAGCTGGCATGCAGCGACGAGCGAGGTCAAAGGCAGGGGGGAAGAGAGGGACGGGAAGGAAGGAAACAAGGAATGTTCGCGCGAGCAGTGCTCTATTCAAAACGAGAACCCAACGCAGGAGGGTTGGGAAAACGAGAACCCAACGCAGTTGGGTTGGGAAAAAAACACAACACACAAACTCTTGTTTTTTCCCGACACTCACAGACTGTTGTAATTTCCACAGCATGCTCTTTCCACAGACTGGTGTGTTTTTTTTCCCACGGTCCTGGCCACAATCCCCCGGCCCGCAGTCATCGTGCTGACTTGAAGGACGCCAGAGAAGGAGCGAGGGTGAATTGTCTTGCCACGGCGAGCCTCGGACACGAATGGGCTCCCCGACCTGCGTCTGAAAACACGACCCAAAAGCCCAAGCCCCTCCCAAACCCGAAATGACCGCCCTTGGCTGTAACCCCAACCCACTTCATGGTCATCCAGCCATGGCCACCCGCTGCCTGTGACGCAGCCGCGTTGCTGCGCCTTGCGCTCTTTCGGCACGCCCGCGAAGGACTTCAAATTCTGAATGGATCCCGCCTCAATTCGCCTTTCCCGCTTGCCCCTCCTCTTTCTGTGCCCTGGCGAGTCCCGCCCGTAGTAGCCCGACCTGCGGTTGCACCAGCTTCGACTCGCTTGGGACGCAGAAAGACATACTAGTAACACGTGTCCTCCTCGGAGGCGTGCGTCCGACCCGAAGATATAGTACAACCATCTTGTAGTGTATCGTTTCCAGAGCGATGTGGCCAGAAAGCGCCCGCCACGACGCACATTCTAGCAGACTTCCGAGTGCGCGCGTCGCCCCTGGAGGGGCGACGCAGGCATAGTGTCAAGTATGTCGGGGTGACGCCGATCGCTTGCGCCCGCTCACGGTCAAATAGCTCTCCACCCGGAACAGAAACTGAACCAGACTCTCGGAGGCCCGCCCGGATCTCTTGGGCTTGCCACCCCCTCCCCGGCGCGCGGTGCCCGCCGGGGGCAGCGCCCCAGGGGGGCCCCGCGCGGATGCAAGAAAAACCCGCGCGGAGCTCGGAGCACCTGGGTCACTTCTACCTTCGCGCACCGCGCCCTGCGATGCTGAAGGGGCCCTGGGACACACAAATAAATACACACAAATAAAAAGATGCCCCATATTTTCCCATATTTTCTGGGTTTTTGTCTTCCCCACCACTTCCCATATTTTCCAATATTTTCTGGGGGATCAACGATTAATTGTGTCTGTGTGTTTCTTTCCCTCCTGAGATGCGCGGTACAGTCAATGCGTGTGACCAGCACGCACGATGAGGATGCAAGGGCCTCGGAAGGCCCTGCCGACACCTGGCGAGCGGGGCGCGGTCAGCGAACGCGGCCAAGGATGGGCCCAAGGTGAAGGATGCACGATTTTCCTTGGCAAATTCCCCCGATCAGTGCTTGCACTGAAGGGGGGCAAACATTTCCCGCCGATTTTGGTAGCCAGCTGGGTTCCCGGGTTCCCGGTTCCGGGTTCCTGGGTTCCTGGTTATTGGTTCCGGGCCGATTTCGGTGGGTTCCGAGTTCCCGGCTTCCCGGGCTCCTGGTCAGTTGTTTCTTATCGATCTATTTAGCGATCCCATTTCAAACCATGGACTGATTGGGGAAATTTTCTCTGATGTAGCTGCTCATCCCTTCTATGCGGGTTGACCGTGTACCTTCGCGCATCGCTGCCTGAGATGCGCGGCAATCTCTTCGCGCCGGGCGCACCCCCGCGCCGCCACCCTGGAGAGGGGCATCCGCTCTGGCCCAGACCGCGAATCGCTCGAGAGGCGCGATCGTCTCCAAACCCCGCGGGTGACCTAGTTTGTGCGACGCCCCGCGGGGCAGGAGGAGGAGGAGGAGGAGGAGGAGGAGAAGGAGGAGGAGGAGGACGGGTCGCCTAAGCCCTTTGGAGAAACCCTCCACTTCAAACCTCGCAGGTGACCGAGTTTGTGCGACGCCCCGCGGGGCAGGATCAACCAGCATTGAATCGAAAAATCGGAGCGAATCGACGTGTGCGTCGGATCGTGCTGCACTGGCGCGGCGTCGGCATCGAGTCGGATCGGCTGCGCCAAAACGCACCACGACGCCATGCAAACATCGGGCCGTATCGGCTCGCCGGAACATCGAAATCGGAGCGGATGGGGGCGGCCAGAACGGATACCGAATCAAACCGATCGGATCGAAACGGACCCAGCGCGGAGAAATGATGTTGCATCCTCGGGGGACCCTGTCACTCCCGTCGCGGCCCTATCCATGCCGAATCCGTGTCGAATCCACATCGGACTCGTCGGGCCCGTGCCGAATCCGTATCGAATCCGCGTCGCATCCTCGCCAAATCCCGTGTCGAGCCTGGGTCGAGGTCCCCCGAAGAGGCAAAGTGCGAGGGGGTCTGGCCGCGGCGGCGGCGCCCCCGAGGCGGCGGCCTGCCCGTCCTGGTCCCACCGGATCCGGCAGCCCATGACGGCGCCTGGGACCCCCCCCCCCCGATCCCGTCCTGCGGGCCGCGCCCGGAACTGAAGGGGGAGAAAACGGGGGTCATGACCAAGACTGAGCGCAGAAGCGTCGCATCGATCTTGGCCAGAGTCAATTCGTGGATCCTCCTCGCGAACCGGCTGCGGCCAGAACGGACCAAGCTCGGCATCGACAAGATCCCGCGCCATCTTGGCCATAGCCCCCATGCTTCTTCCCTCGACGAACACGGGTTACGGAGCGTGGATCTGGTGCGCAGGCGACAGGTCCACGGACTGGGGCGACAGCGACGACCGATTTGGCAACGGATCGCGTCGGGCCGGTACGAAAACGGAGCACGTCGCGCACCCACGCGCTGGGCTGGGGAAAGCAATTCCCGCCTCGAGCTTTGTCCAGAGCAGCAGGACCGCACCGACATCCTCCTCGTCCACCTCCTCGCTTGCCTCGCCGTTGGCTAGAATGTGGTGACCCGCAGCGCCGACCATTGCCAGAACAGCACGAGAGCCGTCGAGAATCGACTTGCCGCTGCACGTGCCGAGTCTTCAATACATCCTCATCTTCATCCTCATCGCAATCCTCATCCTCCATCCTCATCCTCATTGTCATCCTCATTGTCATCCTCCATCCTCATCCTCCATCCTCATCCTCATCCTGCATCCTCATCCTCCATCCTCATCTTCAATTCATCCTCCATCCTCATCCTCATCGTCTCGTCCTCCCATCAGATGGGCGCCGCACGGCGAGCGCGACGGGCGGCGAATATCTCCTCCCCCACCGCCGTCGTTCCCTGGCCGTGGCCTTCCCTTCCCCGTGACCCGTATCTCCTCCGTCGTTCCCTGGCCGTCCTCCCTTCCGTGACCCGTATCTCCCTTCTGCCTCCTCCTCCTCCTCCTCCTCCTCCCTCTCCTCCCCCTCCCCCTCCCCCTCCCCCTCCCCTCCCCCTTTCCCTCCCCCTCCCCTCCTCCCTCCTCCTCCTCCTCCTCCTCCTCCTTCTCCTCCTCCTCCAATCCCCCCCCCACAATACGGCAAGACCCGCTTCCGCAGCGAGTTGAACTTCCAGCTGTCCGACGACCTCCGGGCGCGGGCGCTCGCGGCCGACGCGCGCGCTGCGAGGGGGGTACAGCCATCGCTGCTGGGCCGATTTTCCACCGCCACCACCACAGGTAGGAGAGGGAGGTGGAAGGAGGTGGAGGAGGAGGAGAAGGAGGAGAAGGAGGAGGAGGAGGAGGAGGAGGGGAGGAGGAGGAGGAGGTGGAGGAGGAGGAGGAGGAGGAGGAGGAGGAACTCCCGAGCCTCTCTTCTCTCCCCCGTCCTACCTATGGTGGTCGTGGTGGTGGACAATTGGCCCATCAATCGCGCTACCACGAGAGGCGCCGAGCAAGGAACGACGAGGAAGTGCCGGTCACGGCGAACACCTCGGCCACGCAGGGGCCTCCCGGACCGCCCTCGTCGCCACGTCTGCAAGCAAGGGGCGGTTTACAGGCCGCAGGAGGGAGGAGGAGGAGGAGCAGGAGGAGGGGGAGGAGGAGGAGGAGGAGGAGGAGGAGAAGGAGGAGGAGGAGGAGGAGGAGGAGGAGGAGGAGGAGGAGGAGGGAGGAGGAGGAGGAGGGAGGAGGAGGAGGAGAAGGAGGAGGACGAGTTCCTCCTCCTCCTCCTCCTCCTCCTCCTTCTGCTCCTCCCTCGTCGCGCTGCTCTGTCACGTGGTGCGGTGCTGCCCTCGGCAGCCACATCGCCACCCCAGGGCCCCCAAAGATGTGCCCTGCGCGGGCGGTCCTGCCGCCGCCTGCTGCTTCCGGGGCCTTGCGATCACGGGGCGGATATCGCCCCTCGGGGCGGAGCTGGCAGACTGACGCCCACAAAGAACAGGTTCTCCTCGTCGTCGGCATCCCCCCTGACTACCTACCGAACCATCCCAAGCCAACCCGAAGTCACCGTTGGGCTCGTCGATTTCCGAGAGGGGGAGGAAGGCGCTCCAGAACACTGAGGAAACACGTTGGAACCGCGTACACCCACCAACCTTACCTTTGGGGTGTCTAGGGCCTTCGGGTTGGGCGGGGGTGGCTTGGTATGTAGTGACTCCCCCTTGTCCTGCTCCCCCGAACCTCGTGTTTCCGGTGCCCCCTAACCGCCCGCCGCGCCTCACGCACACCCCGAACCTAGCTGCTCGGTGCCCCCCACGTTCCGAGGCGCGCCTCCTCCTCGTCGTCCTCCTCCCGGGCAGCTCCTCCCCCCCCCTTCTCGGGAGCCCGTGGGCTCCCTGCGAACCCCCCGAAGGCCGCCGAAGCTGGCCCTCCGCGTCTTGCTCCCCGAGGCTCCCCGAGCCTCGCTGTCCTCGCACGCCACCCCCCCGCTTCCTTCGCTCCTCCCCTCTCCTCGCCCCCCCTCGCCCCGAGACGGCTCAGCATGCCCCACGGGCACTTTTGTCACCCCCTATGACGCACCGGCGACAGAGCCCCCCGCCGAGCGCGGAGGGCCGCGGCGCCTCGTCTGGATACATGCAGTGCGACATACATAAGGAATGAGGACGGGGGCAGGAGAGGAGGAGGAGGAGGAGGAGGCGGAGGAGGAGGGGGAAGGAGAGGAAGAGGAGGAGGAGGCGGAGGAGGAGGAGGAGGACGACGACGAGGGGAAGGATGCGGCGCCCAGGCTGCCCCGCGGGGCCCGCGGGCGCCTCGCCGCAGCTCGGCGCACCCCTCCCGCGGCTCCGAGCCGCGCACAGCGGCGCACCACCCGCGGCGCCCCCGAGTTGTGCCCACGCCCCCCCCCCCCAGCGTCAGGTCGGGCCTGTCCCCCCCTACAGTCAGGGGGGAAGTAAGACCCGGGTACGGGGGACTCGGAAATCCCCGACGAGGTCGTCAAAAAAATGACGAGGCCGAGCCTGCATTTTGACGAGGCCTCCCGCTGCAGACATCCCACGAAACTCCTCCTCGTCAAAATCCGAGGCGCGGTCGTCAAAAAACGATGGCGAACCCGAGTCCTGGCAAACCCGGGTCTTACGCTCCCCCGATACAGGGGGACTTTGGAAAAGAAATAGCACATAGCCACAAACCATATTCCAAAGATGCCCCAAAATACTCCTCGAATAGTCCCCCGACTGTGTTTTGCCCATTCGTGAATATTCCCCGCTGTAGAGGGACAGGCCCGACTGGAGCCCAGGGCCCCTCGTCGGCGCAGCCAGCTGCGGCCCTGGCGGTGGCGCCCTCCCGCGGCCCCCGCCGCGGACCGCACCATGCTCGGGCGGCCGCGGCGCGGGCGTGCGCGCGTGCCGCCCCGCGCCGTGCGGCGTGCGCCTCCGCGCCCGCGTCTTGGCAGCGCGCACGAGGGGGTGGAGGGAGGGGGGAAGGCTCCTTAGGAGGAGGCTGCTTCTCAGAAGGCGCCGTATCTATAGCTTCAGCCCCCGCGCTCTGAGAGGCAAGAATGCCTCTAATTCCCCCCCCCCCTCCGAGCGTGGCCGGGTTTCGGCGGGGTCCGTGCGTCGATTTGGACGCCCGAAATGGGCACGGAAAGAATGGGTACAATGCCCAACAACAGATGCTGTCTCAACCCAACAGCGGCCGCTGTTGGGTAGGCGGCCCCCTGTCTCAAATGGACACAGGCCGCGGCGGCGCGGACAGCGAGTCCTGTTCAAAATGTACAGGAACTGCTGTTGGGCATTGTACCCATTCTTTCCGTACACATTTCGTTCGTGCAGAGTCGATGGGAGAACGAAGGCGAGATAGCGCCACTTTCAAAGCGGCTCCGTCCGCGGCGACCACGGCTTCCTGGGAAGAGGAGCGAGGAGATGGAGTGGAGGCAGAGAAAGACGCAGAACAAATCACACATAGAGAAGTCCCTACGAGCTGTGTAAGCTAGTCTTACTGGACTTATTTTTGCACAAAACTCGGATCGGTTGGGGGAGGGGCGACAAGGAGCGGCGCCGGTACCATGCGCCGAGGTCCCCGTCTCTTCATATGCAGGGCGCAGGAGGCCGTAGGCTCAAATCGCGTGGGTGTGGAAGGTGTGTGGCGCCGATAGGGAGAATGGGTGAAGCAGCGGACGGACCGGCGCATAAAGAAGGTGTGGCCGAAATGATACACGACCCAGAGCAACTAAAACCCGCGGGGAGCGAGGCGCAGGAGCCTGTGGTCGGTGTTGCCTTTGTGCAGGTGGTCGGTCGGCGCTTCAGCTGTGGTCAGCGTTGGAGGATACGACGCGAATGATGACATCATACGGTTGGCTCAGGATACGCTTCGGAAGCGCTGCAATATCCAACGGCCCTCCTTTCTGCAGCCCGTGTGCGTCACGATGAAGTCTTGAATGAATGGAAACATTGAACATCCTAGAACGTATCATCATGACCTGTTTCTCCCCCGAGAGTGTCATGGCGTGTCATGGGAGCAACTGTCTAGGTGGCTGCAGACACCAACTAGAAAGAGCGCCATGCACAATCCGCCGCGCATCGTCGCGACGCACACGGCTGGCGGCAGCGTCCAACACGGGTGCCGATGGGCCACTGTGGCCTGGGGGGGAGACCTCGACACAACATGCTTGAGACTCTCCCGACCCTTCTTCGCGGGGGGACGCACTCATGAACGAAGGGGCCCCAGGACACACAAATAAATACACACAAATAAAAAGATGCCCCATATTTTCCCATATTTTCTGGGTTTCTGTCTTCCCCCCCACTTCCCATATGTTCCCATATTTTCTGGGGGATCGAGGATTAATTGTGTCTGTGTGTTTCTTTCCCTCCTGAATGAATCAGCTGCCTCCTTCTCCCCCCAAGAAGGAAGAAACCGAGGAGGAAGGAGAGAAGGCGCGGCCTCCGAGGCCCTTCGAGGGCGGCAGCGGCAGCGACGGCAGCAGCATCCGCCCGATGGGGAGAGGGCTCCGCCCGCGGCGCGCGCGCGGGCGCGAGGAGTGGGAGGAGGAGGAGGAGGAGGAGGGGAGGAGGAGGAGGAGGAGGAGGAGGAGGAGGAGGAGGAGGAGGAGGAGGAGGAGAGGGGAGAAGCGGAGGCGGCGGGCCCGGGGGGGGACATCGGCGGGCAGTCCGCGAGGTGGGCGCCGAAGACGGTGCGGAGGAAGTGGGAATGGCCGACCACCTCGGAGAGCCGGAGAGGAGGAGGGCAGGCCGCACCTCCTCCATCCTCCTCCATCCTCCTCCTCCTCCTCCTCCTCCTCCTCCTCCTCCTCCTCCATCCTCCTCCTCCTCCTCGTTCTCCTACCTGCTCTTTCTCTTTCTCCTCCCTCTATTGTCTTGTATTGCAACTGATGCGTCGCACGCGAAAATCCAGGCATACATTTGCACACCTGAATGTCTTGCTGGACACCCTTCTGGGTCATCCAGACCTTTCCTCCTCCTTCTCCTCCTCCTCCTCCTTCTCTAACTCCTCCTCCTCCTCCTCCTCGTTCTCCCCCCCCTCCTCCTCATCCTCCTCTTCTTCTTCTTCTTCCTCCTCCTCCTCCTCCTCCTCCTCCTCCTCGGTGCGGAGGAAGTGGGAGTCGCCGACCACCCTGGAGAGGAGGAGGGGGTCAGGTGCCGCCATCGCAGGGGGGGGGCGTCCGGCCGAAGCTCGCCGAAGGCAAGAGGTGGAGCAGATACACCTGCCTGTACACTCCGCCCGCCAGATCGATCCCTTCCCCTGGAGACGGCCCTCCTCCTCCTTCTTTAACTCCTCCTCCTCCTCCTCGTTCTCCCCCCCCTCCTCCTCCTCCTCCTCTTCTTCTTCTTCCTCCTCCTCCTCCTCCTCCTCCTCTTCCTCCTCCTCCTCCTTCTCCTCCTCGGTGCGGAGGAAGTGGGAGTCGCCGGCCACCTCGGAGAGGAGGGGCGGCCAGGTGACGACATCGCAGGAACCCAGAGATCCAGAAGACGAGACACGAGAAAATGACTGCGCTGTTTCGCTGCGGTCGGTCTCCGTGGAGGAAGAACAGACTGCACAAACATAATCTGCTGGAGATCCGCGATGATTTTTTGGACATGCGCTGGACCCCCCTCCCTGGCGCGCGGAGCGCGCCAGGAGGCGCCGCCCAGGGGGACTCAATGCCGATCCACGGAATCCGCGCAGAGCTCGCGAAATTCATGCGTATGCCCTTGCTTGGTCCTCGCATCGGCCTCCAGACGCAGACCTCGCCAAGCCCGCGGACCGTCAACAAAAAAAACTGGGGACGAAAAAAAGCCGGCCCCTGCGTTAGAGGCCTCCTAAAGGGGTCCGAATCGATGGGGTCGTAGGATTACGCCGCATCGCAAACATTCAAAAGATTTCGAAGGATTTCGAAGGATTACGCTGCATCGCCGACGTCGGCGATGCATCGGGCGACGTCGACGTGGGAAAACGCGGTCTCCACATCGAGCCGCATCGTCGATGCATCGGCGATGTGGCGCGACTTCCGGGGGCCCCGCATCGAAAATATTAAGACCTCGGCTTCCTGGGGATGCGACAAGTCGACTTCACGCCGAAAACATGAAGAAGGCATCTGATCTTGTATCCTCCGCCCGCCAGGGCGGGGGCAGGGAGGACTTGAGGTGGCAAATTAGGGAGCAACTCCTAGGACGGCTTCGTCATGACGACAAATACGAATGTGAGATCAGCATGTTTTTTATGGAACGAACTACACCCTGCGAAATGCTTAAGAAATCATGGGTTAAGAAATTGATGGTCTCAGAACTTGAATAAAAACCCGACATTTCTATTAACATCTTAGGATTTACATTGAAACGTTAAGAATAATCGAGACCCTGGCCGAAAAAATAAGTTTTCTTAAGCATCGCATAAGGTGTAGCTCGAGCGAAGAATAGCAAATAGCTAGAGGCCCCGAAGTTGCCTGCGACCCTCGCACCTCCCGTGCTGCTTACGGAGCAAACTGATCTGGACCAGCCCCGATGAAGCCTTGGATTAGCTAGGATTCCACCAGATCAGGCCAATTTCGGCGAGGGCTACACCCTGCGAAATGCTTTAGAAATCATGGGTTCAGAAATTCATAGTCTCAGAAGTCGAATAAAAACACAAAAGTTCTATCCAAACCTTAGGATCTACATTGAACCATTAAGAATCATCGAGACTCTGGCCGAAAATTCAAGTTTTCTTAAGCATCGCCTAAGGTGTATGCCAGCGCCAATCCTGAATTTAAGCCTCCCTGGAGTCAGAAGGGATGGCTTCGGAGGGCCCTGACACCACTGGTGGGCTCCCTTCCCTGGTGGCACCACCACAGAACGCACCGCGGTCGCAAGCGCTCATCGCGATCACAGCCAGGGCAAACACTGGGCACACAGAAGAACGCCCGGGCGGTCAGGGAGGAGAACGGGAGGAGGAGTCTGGAGGGGGAATAGAGGCCTCCTAGATGGGGTCCGAATATATGGGGCCGAAAGGTCGCACCGCATCGCCATTGCATCGCCGATGCATCGCTGATGCACCAGCGATCGTCGGCGTCGGAGACGCATCTGCGACGTCAACGTTCGAGAAAATCGGGCTCCGCATCGAACCGCTTCGTCGATGCATCGGCCATGCGGCGCGATCCTCCGACCCCACCTACTCCGACCCCATCCAGGAGGCCTAGAGGGAGGAGAAGGGGCACGGGGAGCAGAAAAGGGGAATGCGCGAGGTTCGAGAATCGAGGCTCTTGGGTGTGCCTCTCGCCCTGTCTGCCCACTCGGGAAGCGTCTCGCCGTCACGGCCACCTTCACTCCGAAACTCTTGCCAAAACGCACCCCAGGACGGGTTTGAGGGCGGAGGGGGAGGGGGGAGGAGCGAGTTACGAAGACGAAGGAGCAAGATTGCGACATCCATCGAACCTTTTGATTTCCAATTGGGTTCCAATTGGGACTGGTTGGGGTGCGTTGCCGCGCTCGGATTCCCCGAGATCCTCGTCGGAACGGGCGACAGGGTTCCATTTCGACGAAAGGACACGCGAGAGGACACAAGACCCTTCCGAGGGCCACATCGCCATAGGAGTGCAAGAAGGCACGTGCCGCGAGGCACAAGACACAAGCGTACCCAGGGTCGACCTCCTAATCCGGGCCGACTGTACACCTCCCGGGCGGCACTTACAGTGAGAGGGCATCCGGTGTGCTTCTTCAGACTCCGGCCTCTCGCGGCCGGCTTCCGGAGGGGCGCGGCCTCGCGGAGGTGGTGCAGGAGAGCCGAGCTGGGAGACAGTCGAGCTGGGAGACAGCCGAATCGGCGCAGGTCGGCGGGCCAGCAGGCCCCCATTCGGACCTCGGAGCCCCAGTCGCCGTCCGAAGCCGAGGCCGAATCGGAAGCCGTCACAGCCGCGTCGAACCGCATCGGAGGAATCGAAACGGGCCCCCGTCGGGGATGGGGCCGAGAGCTCCGGGGCCCACGCCGTGGACGGCCCCACGGGAAGGCGCCCAGGGATGCCACCACCCTGCCAGACCCCCGACGCCATGACTCTTGCAGGACGTCGACCGCCTGGAGGTCTCGACCCATTCCCCGGGACCGGTCTTTCATCCTGAGTCGGTTTGTTGACGGTCCCGAGGCCCTGCGAGGGCCTCCAGAGGCCAAACACGGTGAAAAACCTGCCTTCCCTTACGATCGGCGGTGGACAAACCTCCCTTTAGCAAACATCCCTCTAGTGAAAACGGCCTGGGACCGAAACCGACGGACCTGGACCCGCAAAACAACGGCCGCGACGCCCTCTCGCGAACCGAAAACTGCCAATTCACGAATCGACGTGTCAGGGTAAGAGGTCTATCAACCTCCGATACGACGCCATCGTGTCCAGGAAGACGTCCGGGGACGGGACAGCGTGCACCACCATCCCAGGGGCCCCCCGAGGGCCTCCGCTCTGGGGCCTGTGCTCGGCTGCAGGGAGCCCGCTGGGGCTGCGGCTGCAGCGCGACTGTTTGCAACAGGGCGTCGATCCGTCATTTACACGTCGGTCGGAAGAAGTGCGTAGAAACATGAAGTCGGTAGGGATCTTGGAATCCCAAAATACCTACTTTCAACGACCGGCGTGTATGGGGAAGGCTCCACCTGCTCGAAACAGGCGCCAAAACAAGCCAAGATCTACTCCATGGAGGGGGGAGGGAGGGGGGATGCGAGGGCCCGCGCCGATCAGCATAACAATGAATAAGAAAACGATCAACCTCCTACTCGATCCTCAATCCTGGGGAGCCCTCCGCTTCCCGATGATGGAGACGGGCGAGGATCGGTTCGGGCTCGTCGAATTCGGGCTGTCGCATCCTGGTGCCTGGCAAAACTTTTACATCATCGACGGTGGTAGCATGGACCCTGAACAAATCATACGGTAGTACCGTGTACCTGACGGTGGTACCGTGAACCCTGCGATGGACGACAGGGGAAAAAGGTGCAGGGCGGATGTATGAGGCCCTCGAGGTTTCCAAAGGAGAGGTGTTTAGGGGAATGTGAAGAAGGACTCGTGTGGAGGAGCGATTCAGGATTGTTCAGAGCGTCATGTTATAATCCCACCAGCCCTCTGGGCGGAGGTTGTCTAGGGCGGCTCCTCTTGTAACCCCTCTCTCCCCTTCTGCAGAAGGGTCTCTCACTGGTCCTTGTTCACAAACACCTGCCTCGATCCTCGACCGGCGACCGACCAGGACTAATGACGACCCCCCGCATCATCCCTGTAAAAAAAATGCAATACAGAATTCACTGTGCGACAAAATCTACATGTCGGGGTGCCCCGCGATCACGTTGCATCGTTTTTGCTAGGGACGGCAGGGGCCCAATCATACTGCCCGTTTCGCACAGGCCCAGCGTCCCTGCCAAAAGCAAATGTAACATTGTCGCGGCTGCAAAAGTAACACACGACTTTTTGAACGCCCCCTGAGGGATGCCGGGCGTTCGAGTAGTCCGCCATCGTGAAAATGTGTAAGGCGTTTCAGGGTTTTCGTCCGCAATGGTGTCACGCTGGAAATCCTGACTGCAGTGTGCATCGGTTTTGACAGGACACGTCCGGCGCACGCCTGACGCACACTGCGCGCGACGCGCACCTGGCTTGGTTGGAGAACGTGGCCACCAGGCGCGTGCAAAGCACATGGCGCATCTGTGGGGAAACCAAACAGTACCAATCCCGCTACTCCCCAGATCTCTCCCAGGAGGCCAATCCAGCGAATCCAGCGGTGGTGAAGGGGGCCTCAGGAGGCCCAAAAAGGGAAAAACGAGAGAAAGGTAGCGGCATGGGGTACCAATTTCTTCTCTGGATCTTGCAGGCCTGGAACGCTTGGGCCCGTAGGGCACCTGGCGCGCGTGGCGCAGCTGGCACGCGCGGTGCACCTCGCGGGCGTTGTGCTTGCGCACCTGGCTGGCGGTAAGCCTTGGTCGCCGATTGTTGTCGATGGCAAACCCTGTCTATGCTCAGACTCGCGTGCAGCATATGTTAGATGCTCGCGTTGGGGACCTTCCTGGAGCCCACCTGACAAATATCTGTTCGACGCTAGTTCGACCCCAGCTCCACTCGAGTTCGACTCAAGCTCGACTCGGGTTCGACTCAAGGTCGACTCGAATCGACGGACGTTCGACGCAGCTTCGACGCACAAGTGGAGCGAGTGGCTCAATGAAGGTCCCCAGAATGAGAAGCCAACTTATGTAGTAGGAGGGCGGGTGGAAATAAATGAGCTAGGCAGCTTACCGCGTTCCCGCTGGGAGATTAATTTCTCCCCCTACGCTTAGGTCGGGCATGTCCCCCTACAGGCGGATTTTAGAAGAAAGATAAAAAACATGTTCAACCAAAAGTTTAAAACACACTAGAAAAATAGTCACCACATGATTTTGGGACTATCTATGAATATCCCTCATGTAGAGGGACCCTACCCCCACCCCTTGGTCTAGGGATAGGGGCGACGACCCCAAGACGATCGACCCTCGATGCTCGGGAAAACGGGTAACGACGCCCAACAGCAAACTCTAACCCAAACCCGAAGTGGCCGATGTTGGTGATGTTGGGCTGGCGACCTCACGCCTGCACGGGTTCCCCCGGGGCCGTAGGCGACCCGAGGAGGAGAGGAGGTGGAGGAGGGGTAGGAGGAGTTGGAGGAGGAGGTGGAGAGGGGGAGGAGGAGGAGAAGGAGCAGGAGGAGGAAGACGGGTCGCCTAAGCCCTTCGGAGAAACCCTCCATTTACGCCCCGAATGGACAACGCCCGCAGCGACGCCGACAGCAAGCCCCTTCTCTGAATGGGCAAGCATTGCTGCTGGTCTCCATGTCGGGAAACATATCCATACCCACGGCCTTGCGGGCTAGGCCTCTGGACCAAGACCCTATGGATGCGGGGAGCCATTTTGCGGCTGACCCGCACGGACCGCATCCGTGCAACCCCGCATCCGCCGGACGGCGCCCCGGAATCCGGACCGCGAGGGCGTGGATGTGGAAATGGTCGCCGCTCGTGATGGCCCTCGTCACCCGCTGCCCCCTGGCCTCCCTCTGATATGGATGTTTTCTCAGATGCTATGCCTGCAAAATCAGGTGGTACCGTGGCCCTCGTCGGGCTCTGCCCTGCTCCAATCAACGCTGCGGAGAGGAGAGGGTGCGAGCACGTGCCCAAGGCAGGGGCAAACGCTGCGTAACCGCCCCCCTTGGCTGACTGCGTCTGCCGCTGCCCTCCCTCGGCGCTATACTCGAGTTGGCCTGAGATGCCCTGCGTGCATCGGGAAGTCGAGCCTGCTTCCAAAATCCGCCCAAGAATCCGATGTCCAAGGGCTCCCAACTTCGCGCTTCGCGCTGCGCGGAGCGCGAATAACTTCGAGCACTCGCGCCGCCCCCCCAAAGGGAGAAAAGGAGGACGAGGAGGAGGGGGAGAAGGAACGAGGACCGCGAAGCGCGAATAACTTCGCGCCCTCGTGGTAGCGCTTGATTCTTCGGCACGGGCCCCCAGAAATCCCGACCCACTCTGCGGGACCGGCTTCTCCTCTCGAGTCCTACCTCGACGGTTCCAGGGCCTGACGAGGGCCGCCACGAGGCCAAAGAGGATGGAGACCTCCGCTTTGGTTTTTTTGTCAATACGATGGGAATTTGGGTGCAAATGTCGTATCTACCTTTAGATTGCTCCCATCGCACTTAAGGACCGCCTCCCAGAAACTATTTCGAGCACCCAGGAAAGTGTCGGAACGATGTCGATTGAGCATCTCCTCCCAGGGCCCGACACGCGAACACCCTTAAGTTTCGGTATTTTCTTGGTGCTCGAAATTCATGTTGGTGATCAAGGCTAAACTAGGTTGAAGCATCATAAATCTACGTTACCCCCCCGGAGAACAGCAAATCATAGCACAGACAGCGGCCGCCCATGACCCGAAGCCCAGACCCCGCGATGGTCTCGGGGCCCGCAACGGGGCGAACGCGCCCAGTTGTGGACACGGTGCGCGCTTGGATGTGTTCCGCACGATGGACCTCTGGCCGTGGGCTGCCCGAGGCGCCCCTGGCCCAAGGTATCCCCAGCTCGTCGCTCCAGCTTGGAACCCCCACTTGCCATCGCTCGGGCGTCCATTCCCCGTGCATGCTTCGGTTTCGTGCGCGCTGTTTTTTTTTGCTCGATGGTCCAGGATGCTCCTCCAGGGTCCTCGCCGAGAAAAAAACATTCACACGCCCGAGCGATGCCAGGCCCAGGGCCAAATTGGGCCACGCGAAGGGCTCTCTGGTGGCCGCGGGGGCCTCCCCGGAAACCCTGGGGGCACCTTGGGCCAGGACCGCTCCTGGCCACACCCGACATGGGTCGGGGGCGTCCACGAGGAGGGCGTCCAAGAGGGGGGAGGGCGCCAATCAGGGCCGGCGGCACGTGCGCGGCCCGGGAGAGTGGGGAACCAGGGACGCATTGAAACAAGAAGCGGCGCCATGAACTCTGGGGAGATCCCATGGCCCCCGCCATGTCCACACACACACACCCTAATCCCCACCCCCTCTTGGCCGCCCCCGACTGGGTGCCCTGGCGACCCCGAGATCGGCGGCGCCCGGGCCCGCGGCGCACCGCGGCGTTGCCTCTGGCTTTAGGGCGCCCGCTATCGCGGTGCCGCCGCCACCTCTGCAGGCCTGCGCCGCGGCGGGAGGGCGAGGAGCAGGGAGGAGGGTACTATCCCGCCTCGTCCTCCTCCTCCTCCTCCTCACGTTCTCCCTCTCTCTCTCTGTCTACCGTGTTCTGTCTCTCCCCCTCTCCCTCTCTCCCTCGCTCCCTCTCTCCCTCTCTCCCTCTGCTCCCCCCCTCCTGCCCCTTCCCCTCCTCCTCCTTCCCCTCCTCCTCGTCCTCCTCCTCCGCCTCCTCCAATCTCTCCGCGCGCGGGGGGTCCGACCACCGCCCCCGAGCCCGACGACCTGCACGCGCGGCCTATGCGAGGCCGCGCCCCGCCCGCAGTGCCGCTCTTTGCCTCTCTTCCCGCTCCTCTGCTGGCCTGCTCGCACGCGCAGGCCCTGCCTGCAGCTGATGGAGGAGGAGGAGAAAGGAGGAGGAGGAGGAGGAGGAAGAGGAGGAGGAGGAGGAGGAGGAGGAGGAGGAGGAGGGGGAGGCGGAGGGCGGAGGCGAAGGGCGGAGGAGGAGGAGGGGGAGGAAGAAGGCGACGGGCAACACCGTGACAAGGATCCCCTGGCCCAGGAGCTCCGTCTCAGCTGTGGTGACACTGGGCCTCCGAGCCCCTGTTCTGAGGAGAAACGCGCTCACCCATGCCCCAGCGATCTGCCGTAGTCAGCGCCATCCTCGGCGTCTCCTCTGCAGAATTATACGGAGTCCGCCACGTGGTTCTTCAGGACTTGCCACTCCGAGTCGTAGAACAACATTCCCGACGTGCGCCAGAAAGCTCTCTCCGTGCACATGCTTGCCGTTCGACACGTGGCGCTCCTGCATCATCGAGCTCTTCGTCAATCTGCTCGTCCGCCTCGTCAGTTTCGTCGAAGCTGTTCGTAGATCCGTTGCTTGCAGACCCTGGCAGTCAGCAGTCCCTGGCAGTCAGCAGCGCGCCTGCAGCTCGGTGCACGTTTGCAGCCCCTGGCAGCTCTGCAGCTCTGCCCCGACCCTCGGCTACCTCCTGGTTCCGGCCCGAGTTGCGGCGGCAGGCCTGCTTGTGCTAGGTAATTGAGGACCTCGCGCGGCCCGCTCGGACCTGGACACGCCGTCGGCGCGCTCGCCTGCGGCTGGCAACAAAAAGTACACCCTGCGAAATGCTTAAGAAATCATGGGTTCAGAAATTCATAGTCTCAGAAATGGAATAAAACCCAGAACTTCTATCAAAATCTTGGGATTTATATTGAAAAATTAAGAATAATCGAGACTCCGGACGAAAACTTAGGTTTTCTTAAGCATCGCCTAAGGTGTAGATCCGTTGCTGTTGACCCTGGATCCCGAACGCGGCGCCCAACTGGCCCCCGGGGGCTGTTTGGGGCGACGCGTCTGCCCGCAAGCAGAACTCTGACGAGGCCGCGGGGGCCTGCCTTTGCCGCGTGCCCGCGCCCGCACGAGACGTGCCGGTCTCGTCCTTCCGTCCTCGGTGTCGTCTGTAGTCACCTGGTGACCTGCTCGGCGCTGACGTTCTCGATCGCCTCACGGAGGAAGTCAGGATCTGCGTCTCGAGAGCCCTATGGTCTCGCACGCGCTGGTTCACGTTATGTAGCCGGAAACGTACCGTATCCAACTTCTGCCGCTACGTCCCTCCCCTGTCCACGGGTCGCCTCCCAAGGTCTGTAGCTGGTGAATTCTGGAGCGATTGTGCCCCGCTGTCTGCAGCCACTGCCGCCGAAGTGCGCCGCTGCCTGCTGCCACTGCCAGCCCTGCTCGTGCTTGCTTCGGCTGCCCCCTGCACCATTCCAGTGCTTCTCGCACCACTGCCTGCTGCCACTGCCAGGTCTTTCGCACCTCTGCCCCTCTTCTGCCTACGCTCGCACGCACCACTGGCTGCTGACTCTGCTCATTATTCTCGCGCGCGCTGGTCCCTTTTCACGGGCGGCCCGGCAAAGGCTTTGCTCACATCGGGGCAGATCCCGCGAAATACAGTACGGCAGGTTCGTGTCGTGCCGACCCCAGCGTTGGTTTTTGACACCGCAGGGATCGTTCAACCTTGAACGATCGGCCGCTGCCGCAACGTCCGCTCGTTCAACATCGATCGATTCTGGGTCGCCGGCGGCGTTCAACCTTGAACGCCCGCGCTGGGGTCGCCGCTGGTCGACACGACGCAAACCTACCGTATGCCTGGGCCACGTGGGCAGCCTGCCTGACAGCTCTTTGCCTGCGGGGAGCATCCGCCGACCCTTCGGCGTGAGGGAGTCGCTGTCGTGGTCGTCGGCGTCGTCAATCCCAGAGAGAAAATACAATTTTATGCACAAGAATTTGTTTAAATTGACTTTGAAACTGTATCAAAAACCCGACTTATTCAGAATGATCAATGGAAAATGGCTTAAAGGATTGACGACAACGGAAACATAACGTCGCAAATAGGTCGAAAAGAGACCCCTTCCCTTCACAACTGCCATACCGGGAGGTGGTCCTGGGTCTGACTGCTGCCCCCTCCCCGAGGTCCCGGCGGGCCCTGGGGGGGTCCTGGGAAAAGGTCCCGCCTTCAGGATCGGCGGCGCCGGCCGCAAGGCCGTCGCAAAAATCGGATTGAAACCACGTGCGCGTGGTGTCCGCGGGGCACGGAAAGAACTCGTGGGCAGCACAGTCGAGGTAGCACCAGCCAAAAGCTCCTCCAGCGATGGGGGTGGTTCTGTCTGGCATCTGCTCAACCTCCTCCTCCTCCTCCTCCTTATCCTCGTTTGCACGACGCCAGCTGCCCCAGCCGACTCTTCACGCACGCGCTGGGCCGCGTATGCACTGACGACTCATGGTGCTTGACTTTATCAACGCTGCCTGCTGCCACTGTTGCTGCCTGCTCTTCTCGCTCAAACTGTACTGTAGAGCCACTGACACTGCCGCTGCTGCCAGGTCTTTTCTCACCGCTGCCTGCTGTACCACTGCCAGCCGCCACTGCGCCATTGCCCACACTGGCATTTGTTGCACCACTGCATGCTTCGACTGCCGGACCTTCTCGCACCACTGCCTGCTGCCACTGCCAACGCTCGATGGCTTGTCGGCTCGCGAAAAAACGTCTTTCGCGCCCACCCGGCCATCTCGGGGTCCGCTTCCTTCTGTGCCTGGGAGCTGATGGCGTCGGGTTCGTGCTTCGTGTAGCCTCTCTCGTGGCTGATGACGTCGGGATCGTGCTTCGCGACAACACCCTGTCCCTGTGAAGTCGCCAACCCCCCCGCGAAGTTGGCCAGGCAAACCCCGAGATGCTCAACGATGCAGTGGAGCTGCGCGCGGATCTCCTCAGTGGGTGTGCTGCCGTTCTGCGCACTCGAGGCCTCGGTGGCCTCCGCGCGCGCGGCCTCCAACTCCTTGACTGCCCAATATGCTTCTGAGGCTCCTCAGCAACTGCGAGTCCTTGCCGCTTCAACCATGGGCATATGTTCCTTCTCTTGAGGTTGGTTTTGCAACACCATCACACCCCTCGAATCTCCTCTGGTGAATGATTTCGCCCCGCTGCCTCTGAATTGATCGCACGGCCATGACCTCGAAAATTCCCTCATCCATGGCGACTGAATGCTCCTTCTCCTCCTCTGAAAGTGGAGGGTATTTGCTCGAGTCGTTGTGGCCTCAGACTGGTTATCATACCAAACCCAAAGCTGTCTGGTGAAACCCGCATCCCTGGCAGTACGAATCCACGGGAACCTCCTTCGGCCCAACGCCCCCTGGGAGTCCTCGGAACACCGGCAGCGGGTTTGACTCCATTCGGGTTCATTCGGGTTCCGCGCACCACAATCGAAACACTTCGTTTTCGCACCACTCTTACACGGACTACACTGCAGCCCAACCCCACCATGCCGTGGCCGAGCCTGCGTTACTGGGTTCCTGCAGGACAGGGGCGAAAGGGGGGACGCCGTCAAGCTGGAACGAACCAGCTGACGGCTTTGCCAGAGGCGGACCTGGCGACAGGATGGTTGCTAGCCGCGGATCAGCGGTGTCCAATTGATTCTCTGGGAAAGCCTGAACCTTGAGCCAAGATGGCTACAAAGCCTCCACTTTGCTCATCTTCTTCCTCCTCGCCATCCTCCCTCCGCCTCCCGGATTGGGCGAGGGGGCGATCGGGCGAAAGAGAGGCATTATGAACCAGCTGCAAGCAACCACGTTTCCCCCAGAACCGCCCAGCGCCGGGAGCGACTGATGTTGTAGACTTCGTACCTCCCTCTTTCCCAATTCCCCTCCTGTCGTTCGACCCTTCCCTCACAGGACTTCCTCCTCGCCAGACATCTGAGGTTCAGTCTTTTTTTCGACGACCAGGGGCATGGGCGCGGGCAAGGGGAGGCCTCAGGGAAGGTACAGCAGGGACTGCAGGGACTCGACCACAAGAAACCCAACCCTGAGACCCCACGACGTCCATTAGTTTTTGGTGTGGGGACGTCGCGCTTTCCATCGCGAAACCTTCGAAACCCAAGAAACCCAGGGCACCCTGGAGGCAAGCAGGGTAATTCGTGGCATGGGTCTCCACTCTATTGAAAAACGAGGAGGGGGCAACGACAGGGGGGCGGGGGACCCAGGGAGATACTATGACTCCAGCCATGATCTCACCTCCCAGTCACCCCCCCTCTGATCCGCCACGTGCCGCGGGGCGAGACAACGAGCGTCTCCAGGTCCTCGTGTGTCCTCTGCTTTACACCCTGCGAAATGCTCAAGAAATCATGGGTTAAGAAATTCAGAGCCTGCGAATTTGAATAGAAACCCCGAACTTCTATTAAAATCTTGGGATTTACATTGAAAAGTTAAGAATAATCGAGACTCTGGACGAAAACTTAGGTTTTCTTAAGCACCGCCTAAGGTGTATGTACCTGGGACCCTGGGATCATAGCATTCTGAAGCCTGGGTCCCAAACATCTCTAAAATGTCCGAGGCGTCCCGCACGTTCTCGGGCTGCCACGCGTGGCCAGAGGAGGACCCCACGACGGGCCGAGAGGGCACCAGAAAGCACCCAAGAGGGCCCCAGAGGCCTCCAAAACAGCCCAAGAGGGCTCGAAGACACCCAAGATGACCCCAAGGCGGCCCAAGAGGCCCCGAAGAAGCCTCAAGCCGCGCTTGGTCCGAAACATCGAGTCCACCGAAATGAAGGAAGGGGGCGGGACGCGAGGATCTAAAATCAAGGGTGCGAAGACCCAGGGCCCCGAGCGAGGCCTTCCGGCACCCAGGTGTCTGAAGTGGAACGAGGGACGTTGCGATTGATGAGCGATGTGACCCAGCATGGCCAATTGCTGAAGCTCCGGGTCGCGCACAAACGGACCCCCCCCCTGGGCGATTAATTATTCCCGGCTGGCCTCAACAGGTCCTCCGAACAGCTCGGGGCGGTCTCAGCACCCCAACCATGGGGCGCGGAGCGCCCCGGGGGCGCCGCTGGAGTGAAGCGGAACTGGAACACACAAATAAATACACACAAATAAAAATATCCCCCATATTTTCCCATATTTTCCTGGGGATCGCCGATTAATTGTGTCTGTGTGTTTTTTCTCCTCCTGATGGAGGTGGCGCCAAGGCGTTGAGGCCGCCCACGACTGGTCGGGGGGCCTCCTGCGGCCAGCTGGGGCTACCCGAGGAGCCTGTGGGAGCCACCTGGGGCTGCCGGGGGGGGGGGGGGGCTGTCTGCGCGCAGCCCAGAACTGAAGGGACCCCAGGACACACAAATAAATACACACAAATAACAAGATTCCCCATATTTTCCCATATTTTCTCGGTTTTTGTCTTCCCCCCCACTTCCCATATTTTCCCATATTTTCCCGGGGATCGTCGATGAATTGTGTCTGTGTGTTTTTCCCCTCCTGAAGAACCATGCCACCCCCGACTCGTCGCTCGTCCTTCGCCGCCCACCGCCGCCGGGGCGGGTGCGGGCCGTGCCGCGGGTGAGCCGCAGGCGGCCCAGAAAGGCCTCCACCCGCTCGCCCAGGTCGCCCTCGCCGCAGGGGGCGGGTTCTTGCTGGCGCCAGCGGCGACGACGACGACGACGACCACCACGACGCCCCGGACAACGACGGGCGGCGTCGACGGCGGCGTCGATAGAGACGACTACGACGGCGACGGCGGCGAGGGCGGCGCGGGCAATGAAGGCGGCGTCGACGACGGAGACGGCGACGACGATGACGGCAGCGACAACGGCGGCGGCGGCGGCAACCACGTGAGCAGCCGGAACTGAGTGCACGGGGCCCTATCCCAAATGACGGCCAACGGGCCCCTCAGGGCCGCTGTGGGGAGATGGTGGCGGCTTTGGGGTTTTGAAGCGACTTAGGAGGAGCGCGAGACGGAGGGCAGCGATGCAGAGAGGGGAAAGGCAGAGGCAGAGGGGCGATGGCGCCACAGGAAGGCGGCGAGTCAAATTGGTGGGGGCCTGGAACCAAAAAGCGCCCAAGGTTGAATTACGAGGTCGGGCAGGGTGCCCCTGTGCAGCTCGCAAATCTAAAAAACTTCAAGCGCGCCGTGGACTCCAGAAGGCGTAAGAATGGGGGGGTGGGAGGGGATGGGGGTCATGAGGGGAGGGGCAGAATAATGCCGGATGGGGCACAAGGTGGGGAGGCCACCGCCTCTTGGAATATACAAACATGTAGCGTGACGGGTTCGCAAACAAGAAATTAATCCAGAGGGTCTGGGGAGGGAAGAAAAACCAGTCCTGCCTGTGACCGCTGGCGATGTGACCTCGTGGGCCGGACCTATGCCATCATGGACTGTGTGCGCATTGGTACTCGAATGTCGACCAAGTGGTTATGTTTTGACCCGATTGACCCTTGGAGAAGTCATTAAATCGTTTTTGTTTTTCCCTGGTTGGTGTTGGCTCAGGGTGCAGATCGGGACCTCGATGCTGCAATTTCTATGATGTCGTCGTCCCACTGGTTTCGCTGTAATGTCCCGTTGCGCCTCACGAGATGCTCGCCACGCCTCAAGAGCACGTTGAACGTGGACGACCTCGGAAAAAAGTTCCGCGAACGTCTGCGTCTCTGCCCCGTGCGGCGCGATGTTGGAATTACTGTGATGTTGAAAAGCCGGAGTCGGCGCGCCAATGCGTCAGCTTGCTGGTCTGCCCCTTCTTCCGCGGAGTGGGCGACGCCCGCGCGCCCCTCGCGCGGCGGCGAACCTCGCCCCCCCGCGTCGCCGCGAAAGCTCATGAGTTGACCTAGAAACTTTGAAACTGTTCTGGCGCGGGAAAATGACGATATCCATGCCCAGGGCGCGGGGCGCGCGCGAGCTTGTCCTGCCGGCGCGCTTCGCCCGTTTGCTGGGCCCCTGGTTCTCGGAAGGGCGCAGCGCGGGCCAGCGCGCTTGCGCCGCGCTCGCAACGTCGCCATGCGCCTTCGCGAGGGGCGGAAGAGCGCGGCAGGCCAGGAACGGGTCGTCGGCGGACAGAAGGTTGGCGGGCGTTCTGGCGGCGGCGGGCCCCAGCTGGACCCCCTGCCTGCCGTTCGGCGATCAGCGAGCCGGCCGAGCGCGGACAGACCCCGTGCGGTGGTTCACCCAGATTCGCGCCTAGAAGCTAACTGAATAGCTGGCTGGGCGCGTCGGTCCGGACCGCTGCCAACTTCGCCTTGCCTGACCAATGCGGTTGTGAAAAGCACCCTGGCTGCGCGCGTTGCGCCTGGACTGCCGCGCGCGCGCTCGCGGTCGACTGGGCCGCGGGCATTTCTCAAACTGAGCGAGGCAACCCAATTTTCCGGCATCCATTCGCGCGCGCTCTCGGAGGAGATGGCGCGACAAGTTGCCGCGCGGGCAGATGTCGAACGCCCTGGTCTGAAGCCCGCGCGGCCAGCTGTCCGCGCCGTTTCAAACGCTAGCTGGAGTCTGTCGTGGAGGCGAAAACCTGCTGGAGCGATTGCAACGCGAAGGCGTTCGCATTGGGCTGCATGTCTGGGGGTGGAGAGGGGGGCGCGAGACCCCCCCCATCGGGAGAGCCGAGACGACGGCGCCATTCCAGATGGCCGGCGGCGGGGCATTGGACTGTAGTGTGGCGCTGTAGAGATGGATAAAGGGGCGCTCGAATGCCCCCGCGCGCCCAGCCGGCGCCTCTGCTCGGAGGCCTTTGGCGTCAGGGGGCGCTGCTGAGGCGGGGCCCTTTTTATCGCCTTGCCCTTCCCTGTCCTCGCGAGACGGAGGCAGGTCGCCCCTGGCCCGCCCCCGCCGCGTTGGCCGCGCTGCAGAATCGCGGGCGCGCTCGTGGGCGCCCGCGAAAAAGTTTCAACGTCCCGCCGAGTCGCGATTTCAACGCCGCCCTTGCCTGTCACGCACGCAATGGGAGACCGCAGTCTGCGCGCCTCGACGCGGGCGGCGCCACTCAACGCCCTGAGCACTCCATGGGCTCGTCGCGCCATCCGCTCTCGTGCGCGGATCTCTCGACGCGCGATGCATGAGTTGTCCCAGTTGTTCGCGGGTCTGGCGGTCGCCATTGGAGGCCTGGCGCCGTTGCGATAGAGAGGGGTGCACTCGGTCTGCGTTTCCAAATAAGTACTCGGTTCGCTCGTGGCCCCCCAGCGCGGCTGGAGTCAGCGGCGTCGACGGGGAGCCCTTGGATGTGTCCGCGCAGCGACTGCGGGTCGGATGGCGACTCCTTTGGGCGCGGTCGTGGGCGCTGTCGCTCGCGGCGGACGCTTGCTTTGCTGCGCGCGCGGGCCGTCGGCCCAAGTGGCGGGGGTCGGCGCCGCCGTTAATCATCGTTGTGCCGTAGCTGCTTGGCTGCCATTGAATTGCCTCGGGCACGCGCAGGTCGGGAATGAAGCGCGCGCGATTGGATTCCAGATCGGTCGCGCCATTGGCCTCGGCGCCTCCGCAATATCGGATAAAAAGCTTGCGGCTGACAAAATGTCATCTGCAATCTCGACTTGCCGCCGTCGGCGCACGCGGTCCGTCTGTCGGTTCGTTTGCGCGCAAACTTGAAACAGAAACCGCGCCCGAAATGACCGCCCCCCCCCCCCCCAGGTAACCAAATGTCTTAGCAAGGTGCCTCTCGAACTTTTATCCCGGATTGATGGCGGGCAACATTTATGGAGTTGACGCGGTCGTCGTCGCGATCGCCGTCGTTGTCTTGCATGCCCCAACCTGCGCGTCGAAGTCGCCTGCAAAAAAAAGTTGGCGGCGCATCAATCTTTATGTTTCTCATTTGTTGTTTCTCTCTCTCTCTCTCTCTCTCTCTCTCTTTCTCTCTTTCTCTCTGTCTCCCTCTCTCTCTCTCTCTCAAGATCTCGGGCGTTGCGTCGCGCATGCGCCGCGAATCTTATCGCTGTCGCACTCGCGCCAGTGTCGTTGTGGCGAGTCTGGGCGAGTGCGTTTGGAATAGTTGCGCGCGATTGCTCCAGCGCTTGCGCGACGCGCGTGGTCGCGGCCAGCTCCAGCGAAAATGCACCCATCCGCAATTGCATGTCTCGTTGATAAAATCACAGTGGCCAGCGTAATGCGTCCTGACTACTAACTCATATGCCCGATCGTCTGTCATAAACGCCTGGGCGTCTCGTGGATGACCGTCGTGCGCACGTGCTGGTTGTGTTCGTGGCTGGTCGGTGTTGTCTGGTCTGGTGTATCGTGGTGGCCGGTGCTGGTCTTCTCTGTGGTGGACGGTGATGCTGTTGGTGCTGATGGTCAGGCCTGGTAAGAGGTGGTCTACGTGCGTCTTGTTTGTGCTCCTGGGCCTTGGTGGGTGGCGCTGCTGATGTTGGTCCGTATTGGTCGGTGCCGTTTGGTGGTGAGTAGCAACAATCTGGCGACATTGGTCGGTGGCGCTGTTGGTCGAGGCTGGTATCCAGACTTGCTCGCAATGGTTCGCTTTGCTGGTGTTGCTGGTCGGTGATTGATGGCGTTGGTGCTGCTGGTGAGAAGCCGGTACTTGTTGGTACTGATCGGTGTTTGCTTGTCGGTGCTGGTCACTGTTGTCGCTGATGGTCGCGTTGTTGTCGGTAGTGGCAATTTGCGTTGACGCTCTAGTTGGCCAGCGGTCGGCGGTGCCGTTGCTGCTGGTTGGTTGGAATCGTTGCTCGCTGATAATGAATGCTTGTGGCTGGTCGGTGCTAATCGGTGATGCTGATGGTTTTGTCAATGTTTGCTGGTGGAGCTACTGGAGTGCCTGCTTTTCGCCGGTGCTGTTGGTGTCGCTAATCTTCTGGGGGTTGATGCATGGTTTGCTGGCGGTCCGCAGGTGATGTTCGTGCTGCTCTGTGGTTGTCTGTGCAGGTCGGCGCTGTACTCGTAATGCCGTGGATATGCTCATGGGCACGTCGACGCACACATGTGCACAATTTGTTCTGTCGTTTCCCCGTGCTGGATGCCGGCGCCGTCTTTGTAGATGTTCGCGATGGTGGTCTCGATGCCACTGGCCCTGAGAAAATGGTTCCTTGAGAGTTAGAGTGGAAAGTAAATCATATACCGAATTCGTCCTGTAGATCAATCTGGAAAGTCTGGGGGGTCCTCAGGATATACGCATGGTTTCTCTTAGGGGGGGTGAAAGCAGGAAGAGAAATCGAACGCCGATGTAAATGCAATCTGGGTGAAGGGTGAAACTCAAAAGTGTGTTAAATTGGGCCCATGATTCTCCGAGGGAAGAGCACTCTTCACACTGACTCGGTCGCTGGTTCCAGGTATACTTTTCTGCGCCAAGTGTCCATGTATGCTCTCACTTCCCTCTCAACCTTTTTGGCTGCACCCGTACCGACCGTAGTGCGCCAAACCCCGGCCTCGTCAATCCAGGCCACCGTCTGGCCTTGAACCTCCACCAGGCTCTTCCGCCATCAGCTCCTCGTCATTGACGCGGCCCTTGCGGGCGAGGTCGAACTTCGCGTAACCAACTAATCTGGCACCGGCCCAATCCTCCACGGTAAGATAGCTGCGACACAAAATGGGCGTCACATGATCGCTCTGCTTGATCTGTTGAGGCTTGCTATACTAATGCATCTTGTCGGCCTGTATCCAAGAACATGTTGGTCCCCATTTTTGCAGGGATTCCGCCAGCTTCCACATTGCCGTTGAGGGTAATACACATCCGTTCACTGAGAATCGCCTCGATTTGGGCCAGGATGAAGTCCGCGTCCGCGCGCCTCTTGAAGTCCTGAGCGAGCACTTGGCTCGTGGTGGCTGATGTGGGTGGTGCTTATCGCAGGCATCATGTGATCATCCCTCTTCTGCGCAGTGGCCTCAGTCTCCTTGGTCTTATTAATCTCGCTCTCTGGGCTGGCCGTGGGCATCGACGTCTGCAGTGCTGCTTGTCTCGCGGGCACCGACTCGGTCTTGACTTCTGGGCGGTGGGGAGGCTTGCTTCGGCCTTCGTGCTAAGGCCTGCCATCATGCCCTTCAGCTCATGTCCTAGACTCTGTCAAATTTGGGTTCGGCTTTTGCATTATTCTGGTCGGGTGTGGCTAGAAATGCCCCTGGCCCGAGGTGCCCCTAGCTCTCAGCTCCGTTTTGAAGCCCCTGGGGCCCTCTGGGCCTCGTGAGGGGTGCCTTGGAGGCCGTTTTGGGCCACCCCGATAATCCTGGGGGTACCTTGGGCCAGGGGTACTTCTCTAGCAACACCCGATCTGGTCCTCGGGAGACTCTCCCGATCCGGTACTGTCCATCTTGATGGGTACACCCTACGAAATGCTTAAGAAATCATGGGTTAAGAAATTCATAGTCTCAGAACTTGAATAACAACCCAACATTTCTATTGAAATCTTGAGATTTACATTGAAACGTTAAGAATAATCGAGACTCTGGACGAAAACTTAGGTTTTCTTAAGCATCGCCTAGGGTGTAATGCAAACGTCGCGGAAAAACCTGGCGGAGCGGGCCAGACCGGCCAAACCCCAAACCTTCGCCTGGGCCAGAGTGGCCACGGAGAGGCGGGGTGGCATGGGAGGCAGAGCAGACAACACGATTGCCAGTGCGCCATGGGGAAGAGGGGAGCGGGTAAGGGGAGGGGTGAAAGCAAGGTGGGAGAAGAACAAGCAGCCAGAACCGGATTGCAGAATGCGGCGGGCACCAAGCTGCGACAGGGTGGGAGAAGGGAGAAGGGAAGATATGAGAAACAACACGGGAAAGGTGAGGCAAAGTGAGAGGAAGGGGGGGCAGGGGAACTAGCGGGGCATCGGGGAGGAGGAAGACGGGGCGGACTCCGTTCGATGAAATGGCCATCCAAGCCATGTCAAAATTTCATTTTGTCGTCCCCTTCCTCATCTTCTTCCTCGATGTCCGCGTAGTGACCGTCGTCGTCCTCCTCCTGCTAGTACCATTGCAATGTCCAAGGTAATGGTTCAACGAATATGTCCACAAATGCAACTACGACTACACATTGATACGTTGCGGCAGCTTTTACCACGACGGCGGTCACAGCTAATCATCACTACGCACTGCTACGGCGGCTTCTGTTGCTGTAGAAATCACGTCTACCACTGAAATTGTAGCTGCTGCTGACACGAATATTACTACTACGACGGCGACACACCAAATGAACAGGGTGGCAACGAGCGAGGGCAACAGGAATGACGAGTGGAGGGATGGGGGTGGATGGGGAGGAGAACGAGAATGATGACGCAGGAGGGATAGGAGGAAGGAAAGGGAGGAATGGAGCGGGGAGGCGAGCGGGGCAGTGGAGGAGAAGGTAAGGGAGGGGGGAGGCAGCGCAGGCGCCACAGCGAGACGGGGAGTCACCTCCTGGTCTCCGGTGAGCGGGCCCCACCACTCGTCCTCGACCCCGCTGGTGTCCAGTGGCAGGCTCCCCAGGGCCTGCCGGCTACGACGTGCCCACCCTGTTCCATCCCCCTTCATCTTCGCCCTCGCCCTCCTTGACAAACGAGATCCTGCTTCTGCTACTTCGCAGAGTTGCAGCTCACCAGAACAGCTCGTGCTGCCGGGCGCGCGGACGCGGCAGGAGCTCCTCCCCTCCCCGAAACGGAGCCGCCACGGCGGGCGCTCACACAAGAGCCCGCCGGGTCTGCACAGCTGTCAAGTGCATGGCGATATGGTTAGGCTAGGACGAGAGAGATGTCATGAAACGATTGGCTCAGGATATTTTCCAAGAGGTCTGGATCATCTAGCGGTCCCTATTATTGCCTGTGTGCAACATTAAGATATATAGGATATCCTGTGAATGGTGTAACGTATCATTATCATGGCCTCTTGCTCCTCCGAATAAGGGGGGGTAACGTCACCCCACGAGTGCGCCCCAGCCGTAAACGTCCACGCCCGAGAACCGACCACAGCGGCGCGCGGCGCAGCCTAATGCGCGATGTATGTCAGCTTGCCTCTGCTCGTTCGCGGTTTTCGCATGCGCGCTTATCTCCCCGCTCGCGGGGGGTACTAGTAGCAGGAAGCAATCGGATCCTTCGCAACTCCACCGCGGCGCCGTGCAAGGGGTCCGTGTGACGCAAGAGGCCAGTGAAGAACCGCACGAACAACACGAAGCCATCAAGTACGAACGACGCCCTATCACAAGACGATGGCAAGCCGAGACGGCGGAATGAGCGAACATATTGAAATCGGCGGGCCCCTGCGGGTATCGAAAGTGTCAGGCTTCGAAGGTAGATGCGAAACAACGGAGGATGGTGAGGGAGAGTGAGATGCATCCATAAATGTACGCTGTGAGAGGCCTCGCGCATTCCGACGATGTTCTATGAGGGGCCCGAGCGAGTGGAGTCTCAAAAACTGGCCATTTCGCCTGAGACGTCCTGACGCACCTGCTTCGGTGGAGATTCGGATCTCAATTAATGGCTCATGGCCGATTCGCTAGATTCATTATCTAAACATCGGCTTCGGAGGGGGGTTCGATTCTCCAAACTGACCCTTTCGCTTGAAACATCCTGTGACAATCTGCGGGGAGCCTCAATTCTGCACACTCATCACGCACTTCGTGCCTCATGGACCCTTAGGGGCCCTAAGATAATCCCCCAGACGGCTCATGGGAGCTTTGATTCTGCACACCATGCATGCACTTCGCGACCCTTGGGACCAAAACGGCGAAAGACGGCTTCAATACTGGCCAAGATGGACCAGGAGGCCGCCAAGACAAGACGCCCGAAGGGATCTCCAAGAGGACCCCCACAGGCAACAAAAACATGACTTCCCTCGGGTGCGTGAACCAATCAGCGTTCTCCCCTGTCCCAAATTCCGACGCTCCACGACGGCACAAGAGGCCCCCGCGATCGCCCCAAGATGTCCCCAGAGGCTCACAAGAGACCTTCAAGAGGGCACCAAGTCGGCCCAACGTCGGCCCAAGAATTGACGGCAGAAGATCCACCCCGATAATAACCACCCCGACACGCGAAGCCGTTTAGTAAACGCGCCCAAATAGGGAATGAAACAGAGCAGGGCCGTTTAGTAAACTCCCAGGGCCGTTTAGTAAACGCCAATTGTCCGGTCTGGGTGGTTTTTCCTCCCTTGAAAGAAGCCCCCAAGACGGCCCCGAGAAGGGCCCAGAGCAGAGAGGGCCCCCAAAGATGGACCAAGAGCCGCCCTCTGGAGCTGCCCGACCCCGGGCCCCCGACAGGCTCCCAAAGAGGTCCTACGACAGGGGAACGAAGAGTGAACAATGACATAAAGCATACCAACTCGGAGATCCGCGCGGACTTCTCGGGTCCGCGGGAGCGCGGAGCGCGGAGGACTAGGACAAGGAGGAGAGGGAAGAGGAGGAGGAGGAGGAGGAGGAGGAGGAGGAAGACGAGGAGGAGGAGGAGGAGGAGGAGGAGGAGGAGGAGGAGAAGATGGACCCCCCCTCGGGAGCGCGGAGCGCGCCAGGGGGTGGCGAAGGGAGGCGCCGCCAAGGGGGGGCTCGGAGCGGACCCGAGAACTCCGCGCGGCACTCCGAGTTCTCATGAATTCTGCCATCCTTCGCTCCCCGATGAGAGGCCCCCAAGGATTGCAAAAAAACGCAGGATTGCAAAAACGAAGGGTTTTTTTTTGCAATCCTTCGAGGAAATCCGCGCGGCACTCCGAGTTTTCATGAACGCTGTCAGCCTTCGCTCCCCGAGGAGAGGCCCCCAAGAGGTCCCCAGGAGCCCCGAGGAGCTCCCCACGGGCCTTCCAGGAGTCGGGAACGGCCAGGAGGGGGGTGTCCAAGAAGGGGGGGGGTGCAAATCATGACCGGCGGCATGTGCGCGGCCCAGCGGGGGGGCCTGGGACGTAATGAAATAAGAAGAGGCGCCATGAAATCTGCGGAGGTATCATGGCGGCGCCATGATATCCCCCCCCCTAGTTTTGGACGCCCGAATTGGGTACCGAAAGAATGGGTACCATGCCCAACAGCAAATGTTGCCCCAAACCAACAGCGGCCGCTGTTGGGCAGGCGGCCTCCTGTCTCGAATGGACACAAGCCGCCGCGGCGTGGACAGCGAGCCCTGTTCAAAATGAACAAGATCCGCTGTTGGGCATGGTACCCATTCTTTCAGTACCCATTTCGGGCGTCCAGACTAGTCATCACCCCCCTCTTTTCCGCCCCCGAAGGAGGCCTCCGAGGGGGAGCCAGTGTCGCCACGGCAGCATCCAGCGGCGTGCGGGCTGTCTCCACTCCGGGGGCCCATGCCGTGCCGCCGCCCTGCCCCTGCGGGCCCAACCGAGCCGGACGAGGATCCACCGCAAAAATGTCTGAGACTGGCCAGGTCTGGCTGGAGGACGCATCGTGATGGGCCCATCTTGCACCACCATTACCATAGGTAGGAGAGGGAGGAGAAGGAGGAGGAGGAGGAGGAGGAGGAGGAGGAGGAGGAAGAGAAGAACCTCATCCTCCCTTCTCCCCCGTCCTACATTGGTAGTGGTGGTGGATAACGTGCCCATCGCATCGGGCACTGGGGCGCCGGGGCGCCGTCCCACAGCGACCCGGCACGCTCTGAGAGCGCTCCGGGGCGCCTCGACCGGGCCCAGTCCTGCCCGCCCGAGGGGAGCCCTCTCCCCGAGCTGCGGGGGCAGCGGGCGGCCACAGCCACATGGCTTGAGCAGGGACCGAACGTCCCGGCATTCCCACAGGCACACCACGGCATGATCTTCATATCAGCAGCTGTTCGAAAAACAAACCACCAGTGTTCTTAGAACATACAGCGCCGATGTGTTAAAACAAGGCAGTCTCAGCCGGAGATGCTCTGAGGGCATTTCGTGCATGTATGGGTGGGCCTGTAGGAAAGCCAGGACGCCCCGCCACTGCTTGAATGGAAGTAGCACCCAAGGGGTTTGTTCGCGCATGCCGAACAAATCGTTGGAACAACGGAGCCAGCTCTGGGCTGGTTGTGGTCGATGTGGCGTCCCAGGACGGCCGTATCGACCACGACCACAGCCACCATGTTCATGTCGAGGTCGGTGGATTCTCCGCCACGGGGCCCGCTCGAAAACGCACGTAGTTTCAGGTCGGGCATGTCCTCCTATTGACTGATCTTGGACGACAAATCAAAACTAGTCAAAGCAGTTCCAAAGCGGTAGAAACAATCTAACAATCGTTTTTTTCGAATTTTCCGCAGAGGGACAGGCCCGACTCAGACTTAGCTGTGGTCGTGGTTCTTTGTTGCGCCCCGACGTGCATCCAATGGGGGGTGTCCTTTCCAGCCCGCGGCGCCAGAGGTCTTGACCCCATGCCCACCTTTGCTTGATGGCCTCCCTGACCGCGCGAGCGGCCCCCGGGGGCCCGAATGCAGGACCACGCCGCGACTGCAGACGTCGTACCCATCGGTCGGAAGAAGTAGATAGAAACATGAGGTAGGAAAGCGTTGAAAGAAGATCGGGTGCCCGCCCGCCCCCTAAAAGAGGACGGCAAAGGTGAAGCAACTCGATCATTGAAGTAGCAAGGCGTTCAAAATTGATTGGAATCTGGAGCTCCAAACATACCTACTTTCAACGACCGATAGGTAACGTGGGAGGCATGGGTCCGTCCGTCGCCCTGGCCGCAGCGGTCTGGACCCCTTGCCAGGGATAAGCATTTATCCTGGCTTACTTGTTTTTGCTGACGGTCCTGGGGCCCCTGGCGAGGGCTCCCGAGGGGTCGAACATATCACAACAACAACAACAACAACACCAACAACAACAACAACAACAACAACAACAACAACAACAATCATTTTACCCGAACGCTCAGTGTTCTCCCCAGTGCCAGGGTTTTCATGCGACGCCAGCCAATACCCCCACTTCGTGGGGGGGCAATGCAAGCTCTACCAAACATCCACACGACTCTCGGGAACCACCCACACCCAGCTTCCCGCCCTATGACGTCAGGACACTTCACTTCGTGGCGCGCGGACGATCGTGGATACTACACTGGCGTGGAGTACACACCCGCAGAGGTTGATCACTTGTTTGGGCCCCGCATGTGCCCCGCATCGTGCATTCGTTGCGCATGACATAGAGAGAGCAAGACAGAGAGAGAGAGAGCAAGACAGAGAGACAGAGAGAGAGAGAGAGAGCAAAACAGAGAGCCAGAGGAGAGAGAGATAGAAAGAGATTCGTCACATGTGTGAGGCAACCTGAGAAGATGTGGTACACGGTACACGTGAGATGGTACGCACTGCCAAGATAGTTGGTCACATTTTTGGGGCAATTTCCTGGGAAGGCGATTGCACAAGTAGATGTGTTACGTATGATAGATATGAAGCAGAGAAAGAGCGAGAGACATAGAGAAGGAGAGAGAGGAGTCGGTCACATCTTTAGGGCAACTTCCTGAGGGATGTGGGAGGACACAAGAGAGAAGGTATCGTTGTCCCGATGGTTGTCTCGATGGTTGCCCCGATGGTTGTCCTGATGGTTATGGTTGT